TATTTAAAATTCTGCTATTATCTATTATTTCCATGTGACCACTATTTTTATCTAACTTGCCTGAAACCTATTTAATATATCCCATATAGCCTTACTTTTGTTTTTTGAACTTAAAATTATTTGATTGATTCTTTCTTTAAATACAGACGATAACAATGTCTAATATTCCTTATTGGCTGATTTAAAATGTTGTTTGAATTGAGAATATTGCCTGCTCAATTCAGCAAGAAGAGATACACGATTTCTAACCTCAATTATTTCCGGAATCGTTTTACTAACACTGGATTTATTGAATTACTTACATTTAAAATTTGTAAGAGGAAAACATATTTCAAAGTAGTACGATATATCTTCCATAAATAATTTAAATGCTCTATTACAATCTTGAGCGACCAAAACAATCGACTAACATGTATTTCTTAAGAAATTACAGAACAGCAATATTATCATCATTGAAACAGCGTCTACAACAGTTATTATCAAAAGTGTAATCAATTTTTATTTTAACATATTGTGAAAAATGATTTGACAAATTACTTTTAATGACTTCACAGACTTTTTCTTTGGCATTAACAATAATATTGTCAATACATTTAGTAGATTTGGAGGTAACTCTTGTTGATTCGTGAATTGTTGTACACATATTATTGCACTTCATAATATTTGTAAATTCACGCTAAACACGATTGTTTAAGTTAAAATCCATATTAAAATCTCGATCAATTACTAGTGACTTATTATTAAGTATACACGTGTCTAATAACTTATCAAATTGCAATAGGAACAGGTCCCTGTCAATACTAGGGGGGACAGTATTTCAAAATCACTACCATATTACTACCTAAGATTTCAACACCGCAACATTCGAAAACGTTTGTCACAGATAATTCTAGACAAGAAATTATGTTTTTTACATTTAGAGTCTTTTTACAATAAACTGCAACGCCACCATGTTTTTTTTACTCGGCAAAAGTACGCTAATAATTTAAAACCAGAAAGGTTTATTAGATCAATTTCTTCTTCAGATTGCCAATGTTAGCTCAATAACACAATCACTTAAGAACTCGTTTAACTCTAGAATTTTATTTCGCACACACTGAATATTTTGATGTGCAACAACTATATCATTAATACTTTTTAGTCCAAGTTCACTTGGGACAGTCGTGGGTATACAAATTGCCGCGTAGTTCGTCACTTATTGGTGAATTACTTTTTTATATTTGTCTCGTGTTCTTTTCAGGATGAATGAATTTTAAATTTTTGGTTGATTTTGGCTGGATTATAGTATTTATTAGACATATCACTATAATACTATTTAAGTTGTTTCCTCTATTAAAATTTATTTCAACATACCTTGCAAGTGCCTATGCAGTTGTTGAATTTTAACAAAAAAAGCATTTAACATTAAATTATACTTATTAGTATGTCTATCACTATGAAAATTTCCATTACAATAAGGTGCTGATGTGAAAATGGCATTTGTATGAGAGCACAGTTTCAGCTTATTACATATGAAACGAAAAGAAGGTGTTTTTTTAGCTTCTATGTCATTGTATCCCTCTATGACTATAACATAATCGTCAAGCGTAAAATTCTTTACCAAAATCTCAGTATTTTCGATAACCTGATGTAGTAGAGCATCCGGTTTAACAATAAAGCTAACATGGTACGTATTTTTATCTAAAAGTCTAATCAATTTTTGATTTATAAATTTTGCATTTTCATCGCCCAGTATAAGAATTAGTTTTTGCGTGTATTTCCATTCACATATGTCGGCGTTCGCATTTTTTAATTTAATTAATTTGTTTTCAGATTTTCCTTCTGCCTTATTTATATACGAGAATACGAGTACTGTTAAGGCAGATCTACGATCGCCCCTTACTTCTTTCACTTTTTTATGGGGATTTGGCCTTAATGAATAATCTTAATATCATCAGCAAATGCATGGCAAATGTAACTAATTTAACTCTCTTATGTAATAAAAATGAGTGGTCCAATAACTAACAAATAAATTTGTTATTGACAATTTTTCAATTAATATACACTCTTGTGAATGCCCAATATCCAGTAATGTGAGATTTGACGAGGTTGATGGTAGTTTTGAAAAATCCATAATATTTTAACTGGGACAGATTTATATTATGGTTAATTGTGTCGAAGGTTTTAGAGGAACCTAACACTTCCCCATCATCCCAAGATGTTAAATTGTTTGTTAAATATATCAGACACAGCACTATTAACATGTAATTTATGGAGGCCCGATTGATGTACCTAAAGGTAAAATAATTTTGGAAGGCAAATAGGTGATTATTTGTCGATTTAATATTTTCTCCATGTTCACAAAAATGCTTTTATAATAATTGTCTCAATCTGTATCACTGTTTGATTTTTTATATATGATGAAAGCAGTTAAGGTTGATTCTTTATTAATTTTTTAAATTCATCTATGAATTACTTGTCTTTGGAAAAATATTTCACATATTCTTAGCATCTCTACAGTATCTACAGTCTATACAGTATTGAAATTTGAATTTGAATAAATTTGAATTGATTTGATTTTTAATATGGTGTCAAGCTGTAATAGTTATAACATATAGTACCTACACAATAAATGCATATATATTAAAAGTTATACATAATTGCTACTTTTTATATTGATCCGTAGTGATCTTCATAAACATCAAACATCTTAGATTTATTAAACAGAAATGCAGATAAATTTTAATATATGGTTGTTATTGTCGATAACGTTAATATATGCACTAACATATAATATTTTATCTGGTCCCCCACTTATACCCCCTATAAATGTATAAATATGTGAGATAAGTCAAAGATCGACCTCATGTAATAAATAAATAAATCATATTAAAACTTTGCATAATTAGAAAATAATTAAATAAAAAATCATCTTGATACCACAATAAATTTTTATCTATAATATACGTATTTAATAATTAAGAAAAGCAAGATTTCGTATTTTGTTCTACTAAGAAAGCTACAGAGAAAAATGATGATCATATTATTTTTTATTGTTAATTGTAACATCAAGAAAACTTTCACAATTTTTTCTCATAAAAAAGACAACAAAATGGGAACGAAATTTCCCAAAATATCTTCTTATATAACATTCAAAAAGGAAAAAAATATTGGAAAAAAACCCTATTTATGAAATCTGATGCTATTTTTTTCAGCATATTGAAAAACGACAGTATTATTTATGTGTCGTTTATTAAATGAATATGCACTTTTTTGTTTTTCTTGCCACATTTTTTGTACATTGCTTGGTGGTCAAGAGGCTTTGGTTTAAGTTTTTTTTCACGAACTGGAAACACATCTGTAAGAGCCCTTCCCATTAGAAGCTCTGCTGGACTGGCATCACGTGACAGAGTAGTATTTCTATACGTCAGTAGTCCTAAAAAAGGGTCTTTACACTTCCTTACAATATTTTTAACCAGCTTTACAGCACTCTCACTTCTTGCTTCTGCTTCTTGCCCATTAAACCGTGCATGTGGTGGGCTGCTGCTTATCCATTTAACATTCAATAGTCGCATCCTATGTCTTTGCAGCCTAGTCGACAAACTATTTAGGTCCTTGGTAGTTAAAATATAAAAAAGTGGCTTGTGGTCCGTTCTTATTATGAACTACTTGCCTATTAGTAGATTTTTTAATCTTTCGCATATCCCTAGAGTGACCAATGACTCTTATTCTATTTGAGTATACCTCTGTTGTGTTGGACTCAAAGATTTGGAACAGTAATATACTGGTTTGTATGTGCCATCATGTTGTTGTTGTTCTAGAATCCCTCCAATATTATATGATGACGAATCAGCAGCTGATATTCTAGTACTAAAATTTGGATCACATTTTGAAAGAACTGGGGCACTTGTAATATGGGTTTTTATTTCCTCAAAACATCTTTAAACATCCTTAAAGTTTGAGTTTTATCGGCATGATTTTCCAAAAATATTGTAAGGTACTTTACTATACCTAAAAATATGAGTTCTTTAATATCTCATGGTGCTGGATAATCCATTATGCCTCTCACATTTTCGGTTTGCAAAAAAACTTTTGAGTCGTACAACTTTGCTATTGTTTCTTTCACTTAAGGTAGTACAAAACGTTCTCGTGTGATAATCTTATTAAATTTAGTATAATCAACACATATTCGTATTTTCTTTTTGCCCCGACTAACGAAAACCATGAGGGAGCACGATACAGTGGGTTCGCTTATGGAAAATATGACTCCATCATTCTGCGTACGAATTTATTCTTTTCTGATATCATTGAGGAAAGGAATTGGCACGCGTCTTAGTGTTACGAATGAAAATGGAATAGCCTTGTCTGAAATTTAAATTTTCAGTCCATCAAAGAGTTTCTGATAATTGTATTTAATAGTTTTATCGGGCGACAATAACACACTGTTGCTATTAAATTCATTCAGAGAAACAACAGGACTGCACTCCTCAGAACTGTTTATGTCTTTTTTACTGTCAGATTTTTAACAGTTCACTTCATGATATTTAGTTGAAGTAATGCAAATTGACCCAATAAATTGTCTTTAGTGTCCAGAATAAACATTTTTACAGTGTGATTTTTATTTTCCGAATTTATTAAAACATTAACTTCAAGGACAAAGTTGTTTCATCAGCTCCTTTATCAGTTTTGAACGGAACTTCTTGGCCTACCATATATAAATATATAGTACAAGCCGTTTGTTTCATATTAACCTCACTAATATTTATAAATTCATTGAAGTCCATTGCATCAGAAGAACTACCTTCTGAAACAGTATCCCCGCTTTCGTTTTGACATCTTCAGAAATATTTATTCGTATTTTATAGTGGTTGCCAAGATGTCTCTTTAATTTGCATTTTTACATTTAGTATTACGAACCGGAGCACTCTTTGATTGGGTAATTTTTGTTTCCACATCGAGTGCAGGCTTTATTAAGATTTGGTTTACTTGTATCCCTCATTCAATTTATGATTCGATTTACGGCTTGTGGTCGAGTGGTAAGGACACTTGTCTCTCACCCTGGAGTCACAGGTTCGATCCCCGGTTGAGGCAGTAGGATTTTTTTCTAAACCAGTCTATTATTTCTAAATGTGTAGCCCTCTTCCACACAAGGTACCTTGAGGTTGTAACTTCAGGTATACGAGGCTGTATTGCCTGTGGTATTTAATTTATAGAATTTATAATTTTTATTGTCTCTTTTCACAACATTGTCTATCAATACTTTTGATACTTTACTGCCTGAGCTCATCGTTTTGATTTTTAATGGTTTCAACTTGCACAATTTTTTGTATAAATGTTTCTAAATTTAGGTTTTCTTGTAAGTAATCGGTAAAAAGATCTTCCGCTTCATTACATATCTAAAAACTTTCTTGGGCCCGCTGAAGTGTGGTAAGTAGTCTACCTATATCTCAAAGCCCCTATGAAGTAGTAAATTATTGATCTGCAAGCTCTGCGGCAATTCATTTTCATTAGTTGCTTTTCGGAATCTTTGGTAGTGGTTTTTCCATATTGGCCATTTCTCTTTTATAAATGATAACTTCTCAGGAGCCGGAACAACATTCGAAATCGTTACCGTATTTTTTTTCCATATGTGGATTGTGAACTTGCAGTTGTGCTACTATTTTCCATGCTTCTTGCACTTCTTTGCGTAGCTCTTCATCCATTTTATTTTTTTTATCTGCTTTTATAAACGCAGCTTTCATTCATCGGTATTTAACCTAACACCATGTTGTGCACTTTAGCAAATACAAATATTTAGTTTAAACGTGTATTAATAATATTCTTAACATTTACAGATAATGTTAAATTCTTAACAACCTTCAGAATTGTTGCCGCCTTTACCTCATATTATGTTCTAATCTCTACAGTATCAACGTCGCTCGACGCGTCTTGAAGTTGCTGAATAATGTAACAACTATTGTCAAACTCACTTTTGCATCAATTCAGTGGATAAAATCAGGGTTGCTTCGTCGGCATGCGATTGGCAGTGATGACCAACGACGTCGTTTTAATGTTGCGCGGAAAACCAACTTTTGCACCAAAATTAGCGATGGTTTAAAGTATCTTTTTCTAACTAAGAATATTAGACGTCTGAAACACTTGCGTTTACTGGAATCAACACCACGATAGAAAGTAGAGTTTTAGATTCTGTGTTTTGTTGTGAGTTTTCAGTAGATTCTAAGAGCTTTGTGGTCCCAAGTTCTTGGTAAAATATGAACTTGTAGACTGAAAAATTAAGCGCCCTCAAAAGAAATATCCACACAATGTAATGATTACTTAGTGGTTTTAAATTTAAAGTAACAAAATTAGTTGGTCAAAATCCCCTAAAATTGCATTCCTTTTACTTCATTTGTCAACATCACAATGACACCAGTGTTTGTCCTAGGGCTGGTCTTGAAAAAATCGCAGAGTTGTGTAAAGCTAAGAAACTTAAACTAAGTTGATGGTGTAAAGCAACCTCATCGTATTTGTCTGAATCCTTCTAAAATATGCACCATATACGAGTGCTTAGTTGTCTCTCCATAGATACTGAGAAGGGAACTTGACAAAGAAAATCACGAGAATAATAAATAGAACAACAACGAAAATATATATGATATTTGTTTCAGTTCTTCCTCTTCCTCTACTCTACTCATGCACGTATCACACCGCGATGCGTCATCCATAAAACATTAAAAAAATAACTCTAACCTATAAATTGTAAATTCAGTATTATGACGGCGTTTCCGCACGGCCAATAATAAACCCAAAACACCAACGTTCACAGTCCATATATTGGCAAATCGGGCAAAATTGTATATGACGCATATACTGAACTTTGAAGCAATATTGTAAAATATTTCAAATAATTTATTGCATATTATTATTGCAAGCCACCAGCACAGTTAAGAAAAAAATATCAATAATTTGTTGTGTTGTTATTGTGACTGATTTACGCCAATAATTAGTTAAATGATAAATAAATATAAATTTGTGATAAAAATAATTAATGAAATTTTAAAAAATCAATAATTTTATCAAGAGATACGTGAGTCCTTTATGACATGATACTATTTGATGTATTTCACTTTTTACTTTCTTATACCTAATATAAGAAAGTATAGTAATCGTGATTTTTTTCGACCTCGACGTTTTGATTGATTTATACGTTTTGAACCCTCCTGAATCCATTCTGACTATTTTGTGTGTGAGTGCGTGCGTGCGTGCGTGCGTGTGGGTGTGCGTTTGTGTGTGCATGTGGGCGCGTGCGTGTGCGCGTGCGTATGCCTATACCTGTGCGTGTGTGTGAGTGTGTGAGTGTGTGAGAGAGTGAGTGAGTGAGCGACTGACTAAGTGAGTGAGCTACTGAGTGAGTGAATGAATGACTGACTGAGTGAGTGAGCGACTGAGTGAGTAAGCGAGTGACTGAGTGAGTGAGTAAGTGAATGAGTGAGTTAGTGAGTGACTGAGTGAGTGAGTGACGAATCAACGAATTATAGTAAAAAAGACATTACTTTAATTAAAAAGATCTGTCTGCATGTCTGTAGTATCGCGATAGCAACCACAGTTTTTGAAATAAAGCTTTCAAATTTGGTACACATGTTCTAAAGGCCAAAGACAATAATAAATTCGATAATAAGCAAAATCGGACCCAACCTTTTTTGTATTTGACTTTACAAAAAAAATGTATTCTTGATGAAAGATTATAAATCATGTCTACTATATCAAGCGAAGAAAATTTATTTTCCGAGTACTTAAATAAAGCTGATGTAAACTGAAATTTTGTACGCATTTGATCTCATAAAATAGTGTTGGGATAAATCTGGCAGTTTGACATTTGAAATATCTAATTTAGTTACAAAAATGTCAATGTCAATAAGAAGAAACTATTAAAATGAATTATTATTGACAGTATCGAAGGACGCTGATAATTAATTATTAAAAAATATTTATGAAACATTTTAAGGTACGTTTTTAAAATTTAATTGGGGTAAGTGAAGAATTAAACAGAATGATTTTTTTATCAGGATGATATATACTGGTATAAGAAAGTTATGTGCTGGTCACATCAGATATTTTAAGTATAAAATTCCCATTCAAAACATTTCATTTCATTCATGAACATAAAAATTAATGTTAATAATGAAGTTTGTATTAACAAGCACAAATAAAATCAGTTATTATAAATACCGACAGAAAATAATATTAAATTATTAAAGAGGTTAGCAATGTTATTTTGACAAAGTAGTCAAAATTGAACTTATTAGGCAACAACTTAAAATACTTACAACTAAAAAAAAACGAAGTAATTAACAGAACGATGCATATAATAAAATTTACAATAGATTTTCAAAATAACCACCCCCAGCGTCAATACATTTTTGAGAATGCTTTAAGAGATTTTTAACTGATTTATCAAATCATTTACCGGACAAACGCAGCTAGTTTACTGCCTATCGACTCCCGGGTTCCAATCCCAGTTTCGACGATGACAAAGTCAAAGGGATTGGTTGTGTGTGTGTCCGCGTTTTTTCAACTGTGTAACCTCCGTCCGTGGTGCTCCGGTTTTGGTTTGGGGGGTTGCCTAATTTATGTAGTGTGTTTTATGTTTTTTTTTATTACCGGATTATTTCTAATGTTATCACATACATATATTTTTTAAGTAACTATTCTCGTGTATCGAATTCTTCGTTGTACACAACTCACTTGAGTTGGTCTTATAATAAAATAGTTCAGATGTGTAAGATTAGGAGACCTCGTTGGCCTGTTAACCGGAACTCTTCGACTGATCAGTCTGTTGGGATAATGCCGATTCAGATGATCTCTACTTAAATCTAGCAGAGCGCCTAAGAAAATTTAAATAAACTTCTAACCTTCCTGACGGCCCTATTATATGGTTAAGATAATGTTTTTGTGTGTGATTTTTACAAGGGAAATGGGAGAGCTGCAAAAAGATGTAGATGTTTTCTAAATCGCCGTTTATTAAATCGTACAACATTTTAAAATGTACCTATTCCAATTTAGTCATGAATTTGTACAATTTTTATTACACACATTTTCCATTGCACCCTTAATTTTATTAAAAAATATTATAATAACTAAGTCTTTGTTTCTCTTTTTTCTTTTTCCGTCTTAAACTGTCTGAAATTATTTTATTGTTATTTTTATACAATGTTTTATTGTTATTTTTATACAATGTTTTTTTTCCTTTTTAATATCTTTTCTATATACTTATACTGTATTGTATTTTTTTGTTTTGTGTATTTTCCTGCTCTAGAAATGGGTTTACCTGTTGAGCAGTGTATGCAAATAAATAAATAAATAAATAAATAAATTACTATATTTCTAAACTGATGTACATGATGTGAATGACAAATTTAAATACAATGTCTTAATCTTGGAATTGTAAGCGAGTCCTGCCCTGCGCGAATCATTAATTAATAAAACAGTGTCATCAACTAATTGATTACATTTTTTGTAGAATTTAACATTTGGTCCATCAATATTTTAAAAAATTTATTGGAAAATAACCGTAAATGTGCCTTCAAATATTATGACATTAATTTATACATTTTTACTAACATTTATCACAAAATGATACACAGGATGATGTTATCGACATTTAGATAAACATCATAAAAGTCATTCCAGAAATATGGCCAACTACAGTTTTAGTCAAAAACCATAAAACGCCATGTATCTCAAAAACGGTTCACATTCAAAAGTAAGTTTGGGGATGATCTGAACTCGGTTAAGTATACTCTACCTCCCATGACACTATGTCACTTTAAATCCGAAACACCCTATGCATATACCTACATTCTGTTCTGAAAATTTAAAAATATATTTACAACGAAAGTTAGTCTTGTATATAAAGGCCAAATAAAAGTATGCTTGTCTTTACCGATAATAATTTAAAAATTTAATTCTTATTGTGTGACATTTTCAAATTAACCAATACCGACAGCTGAAAACTTCATGTCTAAATATTTCCACAATTTGTCTGGTATATTACCAGAATACATATATTGTCTGATATTACTATCACTTTCCACTTGACCCATGTTCTTTCT